TTTTAAAAATACAATACAAAATTTGAAATTTTGTGTCTACTTCCAGGCTCTTTTGCAATTATTTTAAAACATGCGTTACGCATCTTATTCTTTGTAGTTGGCCGAAATGTAACTTACTTGATCTATTAATGTGACTATTAACTAGGTTTTTACATATTTGTTTATCAACGTTAATCAACAAAATTATGAAACGTAAGTACTGGCAGGATCATAAAGCATTTGTTATATATTTATCTGAGTTAAGATAGATGGGACTCCATGGACCACTGTCTAAGTAGCTCTGCTTTAATGTCTCACTCCATTTTCCACTACCTTATCCCACTGTGCTGGTCCTGTGCTCTTTATGACAGGACTGTTCCGATCTGACTTGTTGGACTTCCCAGCTCCAAAGTATACGATGCGATAAATACCAGACGGTAACAGTTGCACGGAGAGCGGAAGGAGCACCAGGACATGTGTCCTGCCATCAATAATGCTTAATTTAATTCGAGCCGGGCTTACTTACTTCGACTTCCGCTATCTCTTTAAGTCGAGGGGAGGCAGTGCGTCCGGCACATGATTATTATTAGTTATGATGATGTATCCCTTTTAATGGTTCCGAACGGGGAGTGTGGACGTGACCAGCGGAGTTGGGTGCGTGGGCCCGGACTGGCGAATATTAATAATTGTTTTCTTTTTTTCTGCCTGCCTGTTTTTCGGGGTCTGCGAAACACGCTAAAAATTAATTAAACGTTCTAGGCTGAGGGCATAAATGTGTATGTGTATTCACGTCTCTCTCTCTTATTTTTTTTTTGTTTTCATTTCTGTTTTTGTCCGGCCATTTCGTGGTTATTTATGCGCTGGCCCCGACCAAGCCCAGCGGACTCCGGACTCCGGATTCCGGACTCTGGGCCTACGGTTGATTCATTGTTTTTGACCACCGCTGCTGTTCGAACCGAGTGTGAGTGTGACTCGCACGCACTCATATTGCCAATTTATATTTGTATTAATTAATGGGCCAGTAAACAATTGCTGAAAGCAGAGCCATTAGTCCCGTTCCCGTCGATAGTGGGGAGGTTTGGCTGCTGGAAAATGCGGGAAATTGCCGCAATAATCAGCCCGACAGAGCCACATAAATTACACACACATTTTCCACATCGTCCTGCAGGAGTTAATAACATTTTCATAACCGAATTCTGTTTTGTGAAATTGACTTTGGATATTGGATGAGAACATTTTTTCTTCGCATCAGACACCACAAATTTCGCTGTCAATTGCACTTTAAACTAATCGAAATAAAGCTCAAAGTTATTTATTTTTTGGTGAAAGTTCGTTTTATCTAGCTGGAACATTATTTTCACAATTTTAATTAGAAGATGAAATTGTTTTATAAACTGTATTAAATTTGACGGGTTAAATAAGAACAAAATTATTCAATTCGAAGTGAAAACTTTTATGTGTGTTTGACACATTTGTTTTTCGCTTTATGTAAAATGTTTTCTATTTCAGGAGTGAAAATTCTGAACTCTAACCGTTAAGTATATATATTTCTTTTTAATTCTGTTCTTTTGTCACTATTCTTTATTGTTCTTTATTTATTGTGACCATAACTTAAGATTTAAAACTGTATTTTGTATTGGGATTGCCTCCAGATTTTGAAGTATACATTCTTAGAATCCATATGAAGCTAAACCAATGTAATTATCCACTTCAATTTAACTAATTAGTATTGGCTGCAAATTATATATGTGACACATTTGTTTTGGAAAATAGTCACAAAATAATATGCTCCTTTATAAATTTAATCAAACGTTTAAGGACACTCCTTGGTAGCTAAACCTTACGTATATGAAATATATATGAACTTGTTTTAATTTCGAGTTTGGTAAATGTGAACATCGGCTAAAAACTATTTGAAAAATAAATCAAAACCAATTTTTGGTTAAATAATCCAGGGAAATCATAACTAATGCTGATAGTTAGTACAATATTGTCTCCACAGAAGAGAAATTTGCTCTAATCCTTATCAATAGCAGAATTTATGAGTATTTCAGAGTTAAAATGATTAAATGCGTATCTTCTCCCCACCAAAATTGTTTGATTTAAAGCTCACTCAACCAAAGCAAATAAAGTTCAATGCAATTCAAAAGTGAAATCAGGACAGTGCGCGTTGAAAATGAGGAAAACAATCGCCTGGAAAAGCGCAGCGAAATGACAGAAGCAGATTGTCCTGTGCAGTCACGACCACAATAAAACACTTGGCTGTTTGTCCGCCCAAAAAACACTCCAGGCCCAATCCCAGACCCAGACCCAGAATCAGCTCCAGACCCTTCCTGTGGAGGATGCCCGGAAAATAAGCATGCCAGCTGCACATTACAATTTGTTGGCGGAGTGTGTGGCGTTCAGTTTTTCGGTCATGATAAAAATGAGCGCCGGAAATGCGAATATAAATTCTGCCATATCTGATGTACAAGTGTACAACTGTCCGGAGAAGGAGTTCATGTGTGTGTGTTAGTGTGTGCGGCAGGATAAACGTAATGGCAGGCACTGCATTCGCCATTCACCATCAGCTGGAGGCAGTGGCACTGCCAGTGGATGTGGCAGGATGCCCGCCAGACAGGAGCAGACCAATCATCAGAAGTATGCTAGCGGCTGGAGGAAACGGCAGCGGAAATGACATGCAATAAAACACAAGGGCGCACGCATCGAGTGAAAGCTGGGAAAAGCCGGGAAAGCAGGGAAAGCGGGGAAACGAAGGGAAACCAGTGAAAGCTCACCCATTGTCTGTTGCCTGTCGCTGGATTATAACGAAAAATGGCATCTAACAACAAAAATCTATCTGGCAAATGCATTTGTGCCCCCTCCCACACTCTTTGGAGAAACTTTGCAAAATTACAATTGCAAAAGTTGCGTGCCCAGGGAGTCCTTGGTGTCCCTTCGGCTGGTGTCCAGCATCCCGATTCCTCCCGGAGCATGCCGGTGTCCCTTGAAAAACCCCCACCCACTGGGATACTTTCTGTATCTGTATCTGTAGGTCTGTGCGTTAACGCCAAAGTCATTTGGCTTATCAATGCCAGACACAGACAATTCGGGACGCTTATCGCTCGGTCGCATCGCTGGTCCAGCAACATGCAGGTGGTACCGGAGGATGTGAGGATTATGGGGTTGGGAGGGGCGTTATTAAGTGGCCATTACCAGGGTTCGGCGACAAACTGGACAAGGTCGGGGGCCCACGGCCACAAATTACACAGCTGCCAATGATTTTGCTCAGGCCTCGTCGCACACACAGTGGAAAACTTTAATGCTGCAGCACAGAGATGTAGACATTTTATTTGGATTTTGCAAATCTTTAAATTAGAAAAGTATGCATACTCAGCTTAGACGGCAGTTTTGGTGCAAACATACATAAGCGGACGGCATAAATAATATATAGTTTTAAAAAATAAAGCTCTAACTTGGTTCTGCATATATTTTTAGATACTACGTTAATTTTCATATTTGTTACTATGATACTAATTAATAAACGAATATGTACATAACAGTTATGTACCATAAGTTTTCCACTGAACGTAACTTTCAATTCTCAAGTTTGGGACACTTCCTTATAAAAATACTGTCTACCATAGTTATAGTTCCTTATAGTTTTTGGGTATGTAAATGGTGTTTCACACAAAGTCTACGCACCTCGTTTACAAAGTCGAAAAACTGAGACAATCATTTAATAAGCGTCTTTTCGAATTTTAACGAACCATACTGTACAACTTTAACATAAAATATATTGGTAAATTAGGAAGTTACAGCATAAACCTCATTTTGTTACGTCTCCCAAGCAATTGCCTTGATTCTATAAAGCATATGTATTCTTAATGAATATCAGTGAGCGTGTCAACTAGCTGAGTTCGTCTTGCATTTCCCTTCTTTTCAGTTTTAGTACTTTTCGAATGAATTTGATTTATAATTTAAAGTTGGAACGAACAAGGTCGGTCGACTATATTATAAACCTGCCATAGGAAAGATTGGATAAACTCCTGAGCTCTGTCCATACTCGGCATCATTTTCCCTAAATTCCTCATTCTTTAGTTGATTTATTAATTTAAAATAACAACAAACCCATGCTAATGTTACATTGACTTGGCTCAATTCAATGCTCTAATACCAATCTGTATTATAATAACATCATACATACTTATAAACACTATGATTTAATGACCAATTATGGTAAACATTTTTCCCTGTGCATCGTCACCAGTGGAATGTGCGCAAACATTGTTGAACCGACGGCTGGGGCGCGAGTTGTTGATTCTAACAAAGTAAGCAGGGAACATGGGACTTGGACATGGACTGGGACTGGGACTGGGACTGGGACTGGGACCCACCGCCTGTGTCCCCTTCTGGAGTGGCCGGCATTATTTGCTAATTACGCCCTGCAGCAAGCGTTGCATGCATGTGATTGCTCTTACTGCCACTGCCACTGCCACTGCCGCAGCTCCTCCTGGTAGTTGGCCCTACAACTCCGCTTGGATCCGTTGTGGAGAGCCGGTCTGCCATAATTTGCCATCAACTTATTAGCAGGCAGCAGGCGGAATTCAGCTGCCTGCTGCCTGCTTTATTTTCGATTTTAATTTCCATGTGGCTGCCGTCGGTGGAAGGCCAGCATGCAAATGCTCGACATGCGCGTAATTTGTATTCATTATCCGATGCATAATTATACTGCAGATACGGCATCGGAGCCATCGAAGCCATCCGGCGAGTCGCCAAATCAAGGATTTCAATGGCCTGATAACTTGGATAATTAATGCAGGAATTGGTAATATTTATACAATTTATAGAAGCAAATTAAATAGCTGCTTAGGTTGAAATAAGCTATAGGAGCAGGTCGAAATAATGCGTTTTGCATCTTACTTATTTTTATTATCATGTTTTTACAATTGAAATAGAACAAGTCCTTCAGGCCATTTAAGTATTGCCAGTAGTAGTGGTAGTCTCCACTCTCTTTGAACTCTTTATTCTCATGAATGTCATACAGTTGATGGTCTTAAGTTATAGTTATTGTAGTGTTTCATTAGCCCAATAGCGTCAGTGTTTCAAGGAACTCTACGCCTGTTCATTTTTTACTTAAGAATAAACTTTAAAATAGAGTAAAAATAGTTGGATCTACTCTAGTTGATGCAATAAATATAATTTTATAGGGTATAAATAGGGTATATCTTCTCTTAGGCTACTCGTAGGTATCAAAATATATATATATATATGTATATAGACTGGGCTTAACTAGGGATGTGTATTTGGAACAGTGTTGGCTCTTATTGTAGGGCTTCGGTCTCTCCTCCTTCGGAGTTGCATATGTTTGTGGGTGAGTGTATCCTAACTAGGCGCCTTAATGTCAAGTTGAACTTTATTTTGCTTTGTCGTGTGCCGGTAGTTGCCTCCGTTGCAAAGAATTGATGATCCCCGCCAGCGTTCTGGGCCACGTTCGTTAGCCACGAGATGGAGTTGCCCAAGGGGTGCCGCATTAATAACTCCTTGCCGGGCTGGGATCTGCGATCTGGTTATGTTTCTCTGAATGCATCTGGGCTCTGATTAGAGCGCCCTCGGGCTGCAGGACCGGCTGCATCACGAGATGATGCAATTCTTGTCCTTGTCGCCGCCCATCTCGCTGGGCTTCCTCTTCCGATCGTAGGCCAGGGCATCGTTGGGCACGTAGCTCACGCGCACGCCGCCGTAGTGGCGCCTCTGCGGCAGCTGGTACATCATCATGTAGTCCTCGGAGCTGGAGGAGCTCGAGGAGCAGGTAGAGCACACGTCCGACTCCTCGGACTCCTCCCGTTCCCGCTCCCGCTCTCTCTCCCTTTCCTTCGGCTGCCGATTGGGCGACTTGTGGGCCTCGTTCTCATGGGAGAGGTTAGCAGCAGCTTGAAGGACTGAGGGAGGACCTTGGTAGGAGGCGGAGAGTGGCTGCGCGGGCGCATAGGTGTCCGCCCGCGTGGTGGAGTGCGACCGATGGCCACTGCCGCTGCGATGATGCCCGGCGGTGGAGGAGGACTTGCGACGCCTCCGCCTTCGAGAGGAATGCCCGTGACCATGACGACCGCCACTCTCCCTGTCGCGATCCCGATCCCTGTCCCTGTCCCTGTCCCTGTCGCGCTCTCTTTCCCGCTCCGAGCCTCCACTCGTGCCGGCTCCATTGCCCGAGTAGCTTCGTGAACGTGGCAAGGTGTCCGGGATGCCCTCGAATCGCACGCCCTTCTTCTTGCCCGGCTCCCCGCTCATGGGCGAGGAGGAGGAGGCCCCGCTCAGTATGGAAACGGGATGGGTGAGCGCCTGCGTAGCTGACTGAGTGGACAGGGGGGTATTCAGGGACCTATCGCCCGCCGAGTGAGTGGGCGAGCCCATCAGTTCCGGCGGCAGGGCCGTGGAAGCCACACTCAAGTTGGGTGTGGGCAGTTCGGGCAGATCCGTGGCCGGGGGCGGCGGAGGCGGATGCAGGATGTCCGCGTACTCGTGCTGAGGGAACTGTTGGAACTGCTGGGCGGAGGAGAGGTGCGGCAGGTTCCCCGCCAATTCCGGCATGCTGGCGGTATGCGGATTCTCCAGGAGCTGGCGCTGCAGCTGGTAGCTGTTTGGGGCGCCCAGGCTAGGCTTGGCCGGCCAGGCTGCGTCCAGGTTCGAGGCCATCTCGTTGAAGTTGTACACTCCGTCCCGCTGCAGCTCCATGGGTTTGGGCAGGAGGTGCGGCTGGAAGTCGCCCGGCGAGTTCAGCGGCGACAGGTTCTGCGAGGTGCTGGAGGCGCGACCGCCCGAGAAGTCGGTGAGATCCCCGCCGACCGCATGGCCAGATCCGTGGTGCTCCAGCTCCAGATCCTTGACTACGCCCGCGTCCGAGTCCGAGGTGGCGTAGCTCTTGCCCTGCTCCAGCAGGGACAGCTCTCCGCCCAGACCCAGCAGGCTGCCGCCTCCGGCTGCCTCCAGCTGCTGGCTCTGCAGCTGGTACATGGCCAGATTGAAGCTAGCCTGATGCTGCTGCTGCTGCTGGGGCGACATGGGCGGCGAGCTGGAGGCGTGGCTGCTGGGGATGCGGGCCGGCAGGGGCGCCTGCGGATGGCTACGCACTCGCTGCGTGGGCGGAGTGGGCGTGGTGTACATGCCGGTTCCAGAGCTGTCCGACGGCGTCGGTGGCTCACCCTTGCTGCAGGCAATCGAGCAGTAAATGGCTCCACGGCGCGGCAGGAAGGCACGGCCCAGGAGAGAGCAGCGGCACGTGTTGCACGAGAAGCACTCGTCCGTGGCGTGCCAGTGCTGGCCGTCGTGGCTCATCTGGCCCTGGTCCACGCCAATGGCCTCGCCGCAGTAGTCGCAGTACTCGGCGAACATTGCGTCGAAGCAGTGCAGGCAGTAGGGTTTGCCCTCCCGCATGATGTACCGCTGACCACCAAGCTGCTTGTCACACTCGTGGCAGGCGAAGTGGTTCATGTGCCACGCCCTGCCCTCCGCCTCCGTGCACTCGTCGGCCAGGATGATCTGTGGGGTAAGAGAGAGAAAAAGGGGAATGTTAGATTCCGTTCAAAAATGATATATTAAAAGCTTAATGGATTTACATTTCATTTAAAAATTTTATGAATAAGCTAATCTTTTAAATACGTTAAGATAAGTTAAGTCTAGTATCTAGTCTAAGTATCATTAAAAATGGTTAACAAAAATTCCATTGACTTAAAACGACCAAATAAATTGCTTTATAAGAGATTATTAACATAATAACGTTTCTATGTTATTTGTATTTAAACTTCTGCAACATACATATACATTTGTGTTGGTTGCAACAATGGATGCACAACATGTTTCAAGAAACATTGGTCTGTTGCATGTTGCAAAACATGTTGGCAGTATTTGAACATGTTGCTAAACATTTTCTTTTGTCTTCTGCCGTGTTTTATTTAAGATTTTAATAAATCGACAGTTTCTTTATGATTGAAATTCGGCTTTCATAAGTAATTTTTGTAGTTAAGAACAAAGTAAAATTATTTAAATATATTTACTTATACAGGTTGTCAAAGCATTAACTAAACTATTGCATTCGAAGTTGATTCTCAGCAGAAAACTCTTAGATTTCCCGTAGAAATATTTTTGGGAAATGACTCAATGGCTACATACCTCATCGCAAGCCGAACAGCGGGGCTTGAGGGTCTCCGCATGGTGGCGTCCGCAGTACATGCGTCCATCCCGATGGAAGTAGATGAGGTCCACGAGGAGCTCCCGACAGACGCAGCAGGCGAAGCACGCCGGATGCCAGCTGGCATTGGGACCCAGTCGCGTGGCAAAGACGGCAATGTCGCCCGTGGAAATCAGTTCGTCGCACTGCAAGGTGTAAGGATGGAGTCGTGGGATTAGCGGAGGAGCTGGTGGCTGGACTCGAGGTGGCTATACTTACGCCATCGCAGGGTCGGGCGCTCATCAGCTGCCGCACGTTGCCGCGGCCCAGGGCATCGCGCTTGCGCTGCGTGGAGAAAAGCCGCAGCTCCTTGCGCTCCTCATCCGTCAGTGAGTGACAGTAACGAACCTGCAATGACAGCGAGTAACTGAATAGTGCGGCAGGCGGCAGGAAAATCATATGTTCAAGTGAGGCTCCGTGGGCCGAACCTCATGCTGAATTGATCTTTCCAAGAAGAGCGGCCAGGGAACAGGCACACGGACAGGGACAGGGACAGAGAACAGGCGGAGATGGTTTGTCTCGGCTGCGGACAGGCCCACATCCCACCACCAGAGGTAACCGCAAAAGGCAAAACGGTAGCCAGTGCTGGTAGACGGGGCTGCCCATCAACGCTTTGCCTCCAGCCTCCTGCTGTCCACTCCATCTGCATCTCCATCTCCATCTCCATCTGCATCTGCCCATCTCCCCCAGAACGGTCTGTGGTCTGCGGTCTACGACTCTAGTTCTTCGGTCTTTGGTCCGCGTCTCGTTTGTGTGTTGTATGCAAATTTTTTCGGCTGCCTCCGCTTATTTTTCGGTTTTCTTTTTCCTGATTTCGGGCCGGCCTTCAATGACTGTTCTAGTCATCGTTAGCCAGACCAGAGGGATCTCAAACCCCAATACCCGAAACAGTGATGGTAGCTTCATCGCGGTACATAGTCTCTCTAGGTAAAGTAGTTTACACATAGTCCAAAGCTAGATTGATTTCACTCGTAAGATGAGTACGCACAGCACTCCTCTTTCCTTTGGCTATCTTCCTTACAACATTTCAAGAGAGTTTGCAGTTTCTTAATGGCGTTACCCGTCTTATTCATATTGTCTCTTCTTGTACCATGTACCTTTTCTATGCAACACAAGTTGTACCTTACCATCACTGTCACAGCATCCTATGTAACTGATATCTGGGAATCCGCTCAGCATTCCCTGTTTTTGTTTGGATAGTTTTTTGTGGTCAGCGTCTGCTCTAAATACCGAACTCAGTCTGGCTGCACTTGTTTCCCCGATTAATTAAAGGTTTCAAGGCTTGGTCACATATGTACACAGAGGATGGGTTTATGCAACATCCAGAGAAGGAGGTGTGGGAAAAATCGTCGCACAATTTGACTTTAAATGTCATAGCCCGTAATTCGAGGTGGCTTCAATCGCGATAAAGCGGCTCCTCCAGGTTGGGATAAATGCCGCAAAATTGACGGCCCACGATCCCGGGGGACTTGGGTCAGCGGCTAACTGGGATGGGGATGGGGATGGGGTTAAGGATGGGGTATGGACTGCAGTACTCACCTCGTTATCATGCGGCGGAAGTTGATGCAGCAATTGTCGCACACGATACTGCTCCCCCGGGCTGTTGACGTATGGCACTTTGTCGTCGGGTATTTGCGAGAAATACAGGCGAACCTGCGGGAGAGCGGAGCAGAGATTCGAGTGGTAAGTACCTGCGGCATGCCTAAGTACAGTTAAGGAGTTGGTTGAACGGTGGGTCGGGCAACAAAGGGTTAAGAGCCCGGCCGGCACAGCGGGCAGAGATTTTTGATTTTATTACGCTGATTCCCATTCTGATTCTGATTCGGCGGAGCCAGGTTGAAAGGTGCACAACGTGCCAAGCTAACTTTATTGGCCACGCCGCAAAGCGTTCTCCTTGGCCAACATGGCATCGGACATGGCCATGGCCCTGGCCATGGAAATGGAAATGGGGAAATGGGAAATGCCAGCTCTCGCGGCGGCTGACTGACACATGGCTTATGCCGCATCAACGTAAATTGCTGCCACATGGCTGTAAATAAATTTTCAATTCTGTTTGTAAAGTCACCCGGCGCAAAAAGAAACGAGACGAAGAAATGCAATGCTAGACATGTGATAGGCCATCCCGATGGGAAGCTTGCCAATGGACGGAATGGCCTTAACGGAAGTCAAAGAGTTGAACGCAAAACGGCAGAGGCCCCGGAAAAAATACCAAAATCCGAATTTCAGAGCTGGGAGCTGGATAACTGGTCGCTTCTGCCGCCCGGCAGATTGTGAAAGATTTATTTGGCATTGTCGCATATTTTACGCGAATAATTTACGAGCTCGTTTCGTTTTTCGACCCTGGCAAATAATTGAAAAAAAGAGGGGCAGAAGGCCCAGCGTCGTAGCGCCTCTCGGCCACAATTGAATTGGCCATTAAAGTCAAATGGGAATTGAGGAATGGCTGCTGGCCGGCTCGGAGCCTTCTTTCATTAGCACTATCTAATTCGCCGGACAGTGGGACCTCGGACTGGCAGACCTTCGCCTAATTGACACGCTCCAATAGAGCCGGTCCGAGTCCGAGTCCGGCCGAGTGCAGCGCGCTGCATCTTCCATCTCCGAGGCGACTCTGGCCACCAGTCGCTGATTTATGGCCTCGTCGCGTGTATTTATTTACAGCTCGCTCCGAGTGACAAAATAACGCACAATAACTCAAGTATCCCGCTTATCGCCAGCCCACAAATCTCGCCTGCCACCTCGGGTCTGCCCTTGGCGCTTCGCGGTTCGCCATTCGCGTTGCAAGTCCAAGATCTGTAATCTGGACTCCTTGGACTCCTTGGCAATGGCAACGTGAGTGCTCGCACCTTGGATACCTGACATTTTCAGGGCTTCGTCAGAGGGTTCTTTAGTGCAAAAACTAAACTAAAAAGTAAGCACTCATACTAGTTGAATTTCCTAATGGGGAAAATGTTTTAATTACAGAAAATGGAAATGAAATCGATGAGTGTCAACTAATCTTTCTTTTCACTTGGCCAAACAAAATCAGTATATTTCGTAACAATCTAAGTTTCTCCCTTATTTAAATTCAAATATAGTTTGTGTAAAAATCGCAGAAATTTTACTTATAATAAACAAAGACTAGAACTTTCCAAGCAAATATTATAAATGGGACTGGTTGCCCAGTAAAGGATCTGCTCATACCCAAATTTTGTTGCTCAAGGAAAATAGGACTCTTGTGGAACTAACATGATAAACTAAGGAATTGCTGCATTATAACATTAAAACAAACCAATATTTCAATCTTCTTAAAATTGATCGGTAAATAAGAAATACATTTTGAGTGAATATTCATAGTGCATGTAATAGTTATAAACTATTTGTTGTAAAAAATACCGATAGCTACTGCAATCAGCAGGGAAGAATGTAGTTTCTATTTCTAGTTCTAGTTTTAAACTCACCTGGTCAGGCCGCAGTCCAGGTGGCACCCAGGTGTACTCCTCCAGGGCGCAGCCACTGTCGTCGTCCGAATGCGACTGCCGCTGCATGTCCATGTGCGGTCCGGCCAGGAAGGGAGCATGTGCGGAGGCGGATGACGTTCCCACGCCGGGATGGTGGAGCAGGGAAGGTGGCGACGGCGTGGACAGGGCGGGCGACAGTTGATGGTGCGACGGAGGCGGAAGCTGGGCATTGGAGTACTTGGGGGCACCGGGCGAGTACTGGGGCGGTCCTCCTGGCAGTCCCACTCCCACTGCCACTCCCGGGAGCTGCTGGTGGTGCGGTGGCAAGAACTGCTGGTGGCGCTGCAGCGGCAGCGGCGAGGTGGGCAGCAGGCCGGCGGCACTCTGGGCAGCGAAGAGGGCGCTGGCGGAGGAGCTGCTGGGCAGGCCCAGGTTCGGATGCTGCTGCCCACTGGGTGAGAAGTGGCGCGGCAGCGTGGGGATCTTCTGCAGATAGGAGATCTGCGTCAGCGGGGTCCGGCTGATGGGCCTGCGGAGGAGGGAAAAGAACGGGCGGAAAACGTGACTTGGAGAGCGGGCTTGACTAATCAAAAGTTAATTAAAATTTAAAAATTTAATTGAAGTGCTTCCTCCGGCGGGTTAGAGGTCGACCATGGCCACGGCCACGGCAAGGAATGCGACTATTATATGTAGTACTTTGGGGGAAATGGGGAAAAACGTGTTAATCCCTTGCCACAAAGCCGAATCATATTGTTAATGTAATATAAAACCGCATGGAAATCATTTTCATTGTATTCCTTTTGTAATTCGTTGTATTTATGCGGTTTTTTGCACTTCCTATTTTCCGACGGACAAGCTGTCAATTTTAGTTTGTTTTTCATGCGTTTTTTATTTCGGCGGCGGCGACAAGAACGGAAAGTGGGGAGGGGGGAGTGGTTTTTCCAAACGTCAAAATGAAAAATATACGCTTCACAGCATTTACACAAACAAATCGACAGACTAGCGCTGCTTTTGTTCCTATTTTTTGTTTTGTTTTTGTTGCTGTCAAACCCGCAGGGCTGTCGCCGTTGTCATTTTGCCATTTTCTGACATTGTTATCCTATCCCCGGCTCGAGTGCGCCCTGTAATCCATTTACTGTGGTCCCTACGATCACGGGAAAATGGTTGGAAAACATGGTTCAATACACTAAGTTAACCAAATAAATTATTGAGCTATTGATCTCAATGAAATTAAGTCCTGTGAGATCTGCTAGCAGTTTCCTAGATCTTTATCAAATATGAATATATATTCCAACATCTTAATATATATGTATATTCACATTCCCCATATAGTACAGTGACTCAGAGCCTCCAATGACAATCCTTTTGCCCCTCAATCCATCTTCAGACAAAAGCTTTTCCTGTAAACCAAATTTTTCGTAGCGCACTCGCAGGCAGCTTTCCCTCCGAGGCCGTGGAAATGAACACGCACCATTTCATGGCAGTTTGCTGTTTGCCATATCAAAGGATAACTGTGCATTGTCTGTGCGGATATATGTGTATGCACACACAGTCACTCGTCTATATAGTAGTGAACTTACATATATATATCCGAGTATCTGAATGGGGGCGTGGCCGGGGCCGAACCGAACTGGAAATGCGAGTTCATGCGGGCGTTTTATCAAAACAATGCTGTCCGCCCTTTTGTTGTTTTAACCAGTGAATTCTTTCTTTTCGCCCAGCCACATCCCGATTTAACATTTTCCAATTCCATTTCTAGTCCACCAGCAAGGAGGAGGAGGAGCAGCTGGGAGGGATCGGGACTGGGACCCGCTGATGTGTCAATAGCGAGGCGAGTGCTATGTGCCAAGCGGTTCCTGCGGTTTGCCGGCAAATTAATTGCGCAGATTGCGATTTCAATGGGAGTAAGGCCCAAAAAATCGCCTGACATTTGAATTTTTGAGCTGCGAGAATGCAAGAATGCGTGGCGGGACAACAGTTGGGATTTGTAATGGACTGGCACTCACACAGAGAGGGGACTGAAATGCGAGTCAAAACCCAAATCCAAATACAAATTTGAATCCAAATCCAAATCCAAAGTCGAGTCCCCGGGCATGCACGTGCAGCGTGTCCCAGCTGGAGACCCCAATGGCAGAGTGTGGCCCGCCATCAAATCAGGCGCATTCAAAACTCAAATTACCAGTTCCCAACTTTGGGTTCCACAAACGGAGAGCCAGACGAAACTGTGCATAAACACGGCTCAAACAAAAAATAACCAAATGCAGTCAACACAACAGTAATGGGGGTATAATAATTCGGAAATTGTTAGCAATTTGCAATGCGGATTTCGCTATAAATAAATCCTTAAAGGTTTATTAAAGAAAATGTAAGAGTCTCTTAGCTAAATTGACTTTATTTTGTATCTGAAGTCAAGGTGAGATAACGATTTTAAGCCTCCCTAATTATTGGACATAACAAATGAAGAAATAATTCTGTTAAATAAATCAATATAATTATATCTCATACTTAAGACCTATCTCTATTCGTTTTCCAGTGTAAAAATCGGCCTGGGAGCCTGTGGGTCTGCTTGGTAAATTTATTGTGCGGCTTTTCCACACCGGCGGGCGACCTGCATTTCTTTTTGGCCCTCCTTTTCTACCGGCACCAGCACAAATTTATTGTTGACTGCAGCGAATTGCGTAAAATTGGCAAAGCAATTGTGGCAAGTTTCAATTTGGCACAGGTCTATGAAGTCATTAAGGCGGGAGAACAAAATGGAAAGTGCCCGCTCTGTGCGTGCTGCACATGTTGCGCAACATTGTTGTTGCAAGGCAACAGGAGCTGCAGGATCGACCGGGAAAAGCCCGCCAATTCGTGCCAAGTTGGCAGCTGTTTTGATGTTATTTGCATTGATCGAAGGCACAGACCGAGGCTTCGGTCTTCGGTCTCCGCTCTCCGGCCTCTGGTATCCGACTCAATTACTTTGGCAGTCGTTGACCCAGAGAACTGGTTTGCCCAGTCTCTAGGGCCCTCGGGAAAACTAGTTCACAGCCATCCCAGGACCAGAGGGGGAGCCGGGAAAGAGGAGGCCATCTGCAGCTGCTCCTGCTCCTCCGGGGCCACCCCTTCGTAGAGATCTGCGGCAAGTGCCTATATTTAGCCCGTCTGCTCTTATCTGGCATCCAAATGAATGATCATTATGCGGCGGTCGCGTTGACAAATTGCCAGAGCTCTTGAGCGATGAGCGACGGCTCAATGCTGGGCTAAAGACAGTTTAGCCAGGGAATCTTTCGCAGATGGAGGTGGAGATGGAGGCTGAGACGGAGACGCAGAAGAGGCAACACAATGGCCAAAAGGTTAGCCCCAAATCACTTTGGCACTTTGTGTGCGGTTTTCTCAAGTCATTTGTGTGATTTGGGTTAATGTCGGAAGAGCAGCCGAAAAATCATCGTGAACGAGTGTGTATATAAGCCTGCTAATACATATGTATCCGCAGCGAAAGTTACACCAGGTAGTCAAAGGCAAAAAGAACAACAAAATGTTGTTCCAGGTTATTCTTACACAGGAAATAAAAATATGAATCATAAGAAAAGGTATAAAGAGATAGCATGGGCTTCATTTATAAGAAATAAAAGAAGAAGGCTTGAAATCATACCAAAAATATAGTCATATTTAATGTAACTAATTATAAAACATTGAAAGATTTCGCATTTAATAACTCAACAATTTATATTATCAAAAAAATACAAGCTTAATTGGTATTGTATTGATTTGACATATGTTTTGTTTATCAATTATAATTAATGCTTCTTTAAAACAACATATTTAATTTCCCCTTCATGGACCTCTCTATAATAACAACAAAATTCAATATTTTGTCAACTTATAATCGGAATCTCTACCGATTACCTTTAAAATAAACATAACATATTTATAGCACTTATACATATTGTCGCATTTAATTCGATCTATTAATATGTCGTTATCGATGTGTTGCAGCAATCTTCCACTAAAATTTTTAGTACCTAATAGTACTGAATTATTATTTGAAAAATATCATAATATTAGCCACTCAGATATTGATCCATTATCATCATCTTGTGAACTTGTTGAAAGCTTGTCTTGACCTCAGCTTCCTTTATCCTTGTATCAGATCCCCTATTTTTTTCTCTGTGCAAGGATTGCTTATATGGCTTCTTGTGGACCCTGGGTCCAGGGACGACAGGTGTCACACCATTGAGACTTGTTTGCTTTTAGTTTTACGACGTCTCTCAGCTGGACAACAATTATGTGGCAGGACTGGCACGCCGCAGTGCATGTCCTTTTATTGTTTTACTATCCCTGACAGGGCAGGAAGAAGAGCAACAAAAGTTTATTAAAAAGCTTCGCAGCTTCGTGTTCGGTGCGATTGTCATAAACGATTTTTGAATTGTCCATAAAACTTGCTGGCCTGGGAGAAAGGAGCGGCGGCAAGCTCGTAAAGTTTTTACGGGGAGAATGTCCATATTCGCCCAGAAATACAGAGCCACAACCGCTGGCATTTTTGCAGTGAACCAGGCAAAGCCACCAGCCACCATCAACCATCAACCAGCAACCAGCAACCAGCAACAGTGCGAGTACGAGCACGTTTTGTTCTGTTCCGTCTGCCTTGTCAACATGACATTTGCCGTGTTGACATTTTTATTGACTTTGGCAGGCAAACGGTTTTTGTTCTCGCCTAGCCTGAAAGTTGATTAAGAATGCCAGTCTATCTACCTCTCCTTCCCCCACCTGTGTGTGTGTGTGTGGTCTTCGTCCAGGTGCGTTTATTACGCATACGCCAAGTGGCACTAATTGCCGACGGACAGCGGCGGGACTGTACTTGCGCTAATCTGCTGTTTCAATTTGCCCGCCGCTTATGCTGGAAAGTCGCATAATCTTCGGACAACTACAACTGAGCAGGATCGGAGCCATCCGAGCCAATTAAAGTTTGGGGCGGTAAATGCCGCATTGCCACTTGGTGCAGGCGGCAAATATGCTGCTGCTGCCGCTCTCCTTTGTTGCTAACGGGCAGCAAAATTGTTTCCCGAGCGTGCAAATTTTCACAGCTGCAACAACTATGCCAGCAATTTGTGTTTGCTAAGCGGCAAGAGACCCGGCGCCCCGTTCCCTGTTCCAAGTTCCCAGTTCCCAGAGCTTCCTGGGAGCCACAGAACCGGGGGAGCGACCAGAGACACCGCCATCGCGATCAGGTTTGTGTTAGAGCAGCGCCTTGGTAATGGCTGCAAGAGAAATTGCATCATCAATGCAAATTCGGTGAGCCAAAGGCGGTGATAGCAGAAGTTCCAATTTGTTTTCATGGTAATTGATTCAAGGCATTATTTTTAATTCGATCGGCCGCCAATTAATAGCGAACTTTGTGGCAAATACATCAAAGCCCGGGTAGCTGCTGCAAAACGCGTGTGTTGTTCTGGGTCGCCCACCAGGCCAGGCCAGGTAGTGCCTCCTCCCGATCACCGATCACCGATCACCGATCAGTGATCAACAATCCCCCCTTTGTAGCTATATGCC